AGGCTAACCCTATTACATCCGTGCTGGATCGTGTTTTCCTTGGTCCCAGGTGGGATGCCCTGTTCCCTAGGTCTTATCTTCTCGCTAAATGCATTGCCGGGTCTGATCATACCCCCTTGATTCTTGACGATGGTTCCATCTGCAATAGACCTCCGCCTAGATTTCAGTTTGATGCTTCTTGGCTGTCGGTTGACGGCTTTGTCGATATGGTCGCTGCGAAGATTTCCCACTCCCTTTCCTCCAACCTCCGCTCCTTTGGCCCTCTGGATGACTGGCATTCTTGCTCCTATTCCCTTCGCAAATTTCTTAGAGGGTGGTCGCGTAACCGTGCGGCGGAGGATCGACGCTCCAAAGCCTTTCTTGAAAATCAGATCCTGGAGCTGGATCGTACTGCTGACTCTATTGGGCTCTCTAACGATGGATGGGACGTTCGTTATAATCTGGAGGCTGCACTTTTGCAGCTGCACCATCAGGCTGAGATTTACTGGCGCCAGAGGGGCACTCTTAATTGGACACTCAAAGGGGACGCTCCTACTGCATATTTTTTTGCGATTGCGAACGGTAGGCGTAGGCGCTGTGACATTAACAGTTTGATGATTAATGGTCCGCGCTCCTCTGATCAGTCGGTGATTCTAGCTCATGTAGTGGATTTCTTCTCGTCTTTGTTAGGGGCTAAACCTCAATCGGGCTTGTCCATTTCCCCCCACCTTTGGAGTTCTGGTCTTAAAATTTCCCCCGAGGAGAATGCCTCCTTGATGATCCCGCTCTCTGATCAGGAAATCTGGGACGTGGTTAATTCTGCTAACCCCAATGCAGCATCTGGGCCAGATGGCTTTTCCATTCCTTTCTTTCAGAGATTTTGGCCCCAGTTGAAACAGTTGGTGTGTAGCGTTATTCAGGGTTTCTGTCTTGGGACTGTCGATATCTCTTGTCTGAATTACGCTGTAATATCCCTGATTCCGAAGGTCAAGGGTGCTGATGTTATTTCCCAATTTCAGCCTATAGCGTTGATTAACAACTTTGCCAAATTCCCTTCCAAAGGCTTTGCGAATCGGCTGTCCCCGGTTGCGCATAGAGTTATTAGCCCCTTTCAATATGCTTTTATCAAAGGGCGATATTCTAGATGGCATTCTTTCCCTTCATGAGATTGTTCACGACCTTCACGCGCGGAAAGCTAAAGCGGTTATTCTTAAGTTAGACTTTGAAAAAGCGTATGACTCGGTCAGTTGGCCTTTCCTCAAGCAGGTCCTTCTTGCCAAAGGGTTCGACGGTGCTTATGTCCATCATATCATGCAGTTGGTCTCGGGTGGCCATACTGCTGTTGCTGTGAATGGCGTTATTAGTAACTTCTTTGCGAATGGCAGGGGCCTTCGCCAAGGGGATCCAGCCTCCCCGGTTCTCTTTAACTTTGTGGCCGACGCCTTCTCTTGCATGCTCTCCAAGGCGGCCCGTTGTGGGCACATTACCCCCGTGATCTCCCATCTTCTGCCGGAAGGTGTCTCCCATCTGCAATACGCTGATGATACAATCATATTGGTGGAGTTGGATAATGCCTGTATTGCCAATCTTAAATTCATCTTGCTGTGTTTCGAAGCTGTTTCGGGTCTGAAGATCAATTTCGCCAAGAGTGAGGTTCTGGTGACGGGTGTGGACGGGGCGGAAGCCTTGCGAGTTGCCAGGCTCCTTAATTGCGCTTTAGGTTCTTTCCCTTTCAAGTATTTAGGACTTCCTATCTCTCCTGGTATACTTCATGCGAAGGACTTCGCTCCGGTGGTTGCTAAAGTAGGAAACAGGGTGCTCCCGTGGAGGGGTAGATATAATACCAATGCAGGCAAAGTGGCTTTAATCAATTCTTGCCTGTCTTCTCTCCCTATGTTTCTTATGGGCTTCTATCTTCTCACGAATGGCGTGCATTCTGGCTTCGACAAACATAGGGGTGGCTTCTACTGGAATTCAGCTGATAACAAAAGAAAATATAGGCTGGTTAAGTGGCAACTGATGTGTAGGCCTAAAAACCTTGGGGGGTTAGGCATTATTAACACTCGGGTGATGAACATGTGTTTGCTCATCAAGTGGTGGTGGAAAATTATGACTGTGGGGGCCGGGTCGCTGTGGTTTTCGATTCTTAAGGCCAAATATTTCCCCCACTCCGATCCTATGTTTGCTCCCGCGCGGCGTGGTTCTCAGTTCTGGAAAGCTCTTGTTAAAGTTAGGCCGATTTTTTTGGAGCATGTCAAGTTTTCTGTGGGGAATGGGTCTGCTGTTCGTTTTTGGTTGGATTGGTGGTCTGGGGATGCCCCACTTGCCGTGAGCTTTCCGATTTTGTTTTCTTATTGTCCCAATCCGCAGATCTCCATCGCGGAGCTGGCTGCTAATAATTGGGATTTGGCTTTCCGTCGGGCTCTGTCTCCTGAAGAGTTGGAAGATTGGCAAAGCCTCTCTGCCCTCTTCCCCGTGCTCTCGGAGTCGGCTGACTCGGTGTTTTGGCAATTTTCGGCCTCTGGTAAATTTTCTGTTAAGTCGTTGTATTCTAGACTCATTGGTGGTACCCCCTCGGCTAGATTCTCTTGTGTCTGGAAATCAAGGGTTCCTCCGAAAATTAAGATTTTTCTCTGGCAGGCCTTTCGTGGTCGCCTCCCTACTGCTGATCAGATCAAAAAACGCAATGGGCCGGGCTCTGAATTCTGTAACCTGGGTGGGGCCTTGGAAAATTCCGACCACATCTTTTTCAACTGTGTACTTGCCAAATTAGTTTGGTCTTGCGTCAGATCTTGGCTTCGGGTTTCTTGGAATCCCTCCTCTTTCTCTGATATTAGAACTCTAGCTAAAACTTTGGTCGGGGTCACCAAGAGGGTAATTTGGGTTGGCTTGGGAGCCTTTTGCTGGGCCTTATGGAATATTAGAAACAAATTTACTATTGAGCTTACCTTCCCATCTAAACCTGCTGATGTTCTATTCAAATCATGTATATTCTTGCAGCAGTGGAGATCATTGACTAAGGAGCCTGATCGGGACGCCCTGGACCTGCTCATCAACAAAATTCGGGCTTCGACTTCTCAGATATCCGGGACGAACCCTGCCGTATAATTTGGTGCTGTTGTTTGCGGACATTTGGTCTTTCTCCTCCCCGGCCTGCGCGCTGTGTATGGCAGTTGCCTATATCATGCTTGCTTAGGTTTCTCTTAAACTCCTCTGTGTGGTTATGATTTCCTGTGAACCTGTGGTATCCGTGACGCTGCCTGGTGGCTTTATCTATAAAGTCGGGCCTTGGCCTTTTCTCTAAAAAAAACCGGTCAACAGGGAGGGGAGGGTTGAATCCTGACCGGTTTTGAGACTTGGGGGTTGTAATTTAGACGGTATTAAAGTTCAAGATTATAAATTAGATTAAAGCAAGAATTCAGGGTTGAAATATGCACTTCTCCCTTTCCTAACACGCGAGAAATAGAAACAAGCTCCAACGGCTGAGCATGTGACTGAGACTTTTTTTTGAGAGAGAGACTGAGACTTGGCAAAGCCGTTTCTTCAACCGAACCACCTGGGTCCATTCTGCGTGATTTGTCCTCCAGGGCGAAATTAGCGCACCCATTTACGACCGAGCCTTTTCACCTCTGCTAGGGTAAGGTCCAGGTGGCCATGGAGGACGGCCGCCGCCGCCGCCGCCGCCGCAAGAGTGCCCAGAGGGAAACCGCGCCGGCAACCAAGATCGATGCCCTCACGGACGATTTTCTCGAGCTCGTGTTCCTGCGCCTCCCCTTGCATCGCCACCTCGTCTACGCAGCGTGCACGTGCCGGCGCTGGCGCCGCGTGATCGCGGGCGACGTCGGACGCTTCCTTCTCCGGTTCATCTCGCTCCGCGGCCTGTCGCCCGCCCACTTCTCCGGCCACTACCGCGTCGACGAGCGCCACCGGCACCCGCGTCCGCCCGGCGGCAACCCCGTCTTCGTCCCCTCCTCCTCGCGGTGGGTGGCCGCCGCCGTCGCGCGGAACCTCGCGCTCGACTTCCTCCCGCGGCCGGGACTGGCGGGCCGCTGCTGGGAGCTCGCCGACTTCTGGGACGGTCTCCTGCTCTTGCTGCTCCTGGACAAGGAGACAACATGGTCGCCGGCGTATGCCCTGGTCGTCTGCGATCCCCTGACGGGGAGCTACAGCACCGTCCCGCTCTCGGCGTGGTTCCAGGGCTGCGGTTGCCTGGGCGCCTTCCTCCTCCACGGCGAGGACGCGGGCGCGCGCATCAGCCTGTCCAACTTCAGGGTGACGTGCGCGGTCTATCGCCCTGGGGACGGCGTCGCCAGGGCCTGCGCGTTCTCGTCCGCCGGCGGCGGCCGCTGGACCTCCGGCGCCGCTCGTAGCAGCATGGCAGTCTATGGCGACCAGTTCGGGAGCGGCAGGGGTCTGGGCCCCTTCCACTTCGCAGGGAGCACCTACGGGTTCGCCTACTGGACGGTGGGAGACGGCATCCTTCTCGCTCTGGACAAGAAGGCCGCCGAGTTCTCCTCCTCCGTCGGGCTCGACAAGACGAAGTACGCCGCGCTCGAGGACAAGCGGCACACCGCCGAGTACGCCTACCAGAGCCCGTGGTTCCGAGCATGCTTATCCTAGCTGCCACGCCGTCGTTCAGGGTTCTGAATAATTCCTTAATTTGCCGTTTGTTGTGATGATCCTAGAGCATCATAGAGTATGTGTTTGTGTGAGCTTCTCGATGACCGCTTGTAGGCAAAGTGGCAAACACTTTTAGATGTTCTATTGCCGTGCATTCATAGTTTGTTTATTTACAACTTCAGTTCGTTGGATTGTTTGGTTATTGTTCTGGGCATGAATCTCGCCTTCAGTTTACTTTCATAAAGGCGAAATTGTTTGTTTTGGAGAAGGTCTTCTTCACAAAATTGTCTAGCTTAAACATAGGAAAAATTATGATTGTTCCACTATCCAGCTCCGAAATGTGAAGGTTGCAACAAAATTTTCCAAAATTTTAGTGCCCCACCAAACCGTGCGAAGAAATTGAGCATGGGCCAGTGAAGTGAAAGACGTTAGCGCTTGTTGTCATCTACTCAGCCCTCTAAGCCATCTCCTTTGACGCCGTTCTTCGCTGAGGGGCCCACCATTTGGCCACGTAGTCAACAATGAATAGTAAGCCCAGTAACGGCATTGCTGAGCAGCAAATTTGCTCCTGCACACCATTTGGCCACGTAGTCAACAATGAATAGTAAGCCCAGTAACGACATTGCTGAGCAGCAAATTTGCTCCTGCATGGCTGCATTCGTTCTCGGACAGAGGATCAGTTTACGGACATGAATACGGAAACAGGGCCGGCCCTGAGGGGGGGCAGGGGGGCCGGCCGCCCCGGGCCCCCGAAATCCAGGGGCCCCCTCCCGGCCTGTGCGTAGGTAGGCAAAGGCCCAAGCCACATGCAGACGGGAACGACGCAGCGTTGTCCTCGTTTTCCTTCTTCCAGCCCATGGTGTATATGCTTCTACATTAGAACAGGCATGCATGAGGCACGAATCAATCAGGAAACCCTAAAAACCGAATCAATCAGGATCCATCAGCTTGGAGACACAACCAGGGAGCTTTGATCAAGGATGAGGTCCAGTCGTCCAGATTGCAATGAATATGGCTGCACACGGGGTGGGGCGTCTGCGCACCGGCGCTGGATGTCACCTATGGATGTGGGCGGTTGCCGGCCGGCCGGCCGATGTATATTCCACAAGTATCGTTAACCATTATGTTTCTGCAGTTTGATACTTTGTTCTTGTGGTCTAAATCTCAAAGAGATCAAGAACGAAAGTGATGTTTTGGATAATGATTCTGACGACTAATTTTCAGATGAACTATGCAATGACGGAATAAATTGGAAAATTAGGTCCTGATTTATTAAGTTTTAGACGAACTATCACAATACTTCTGCTTTGATTTTTGAAGATATGAAAGAATATTTTTCATATCATTTATATTGATTTTTTCATGATTCTAAATTAAGTTTTCAGGTATTGTTATTTATAATATCAATCCTACAATTAGTTCGTCTAAGGACTACTGTGCACACCTTTACTTCCTCCATAGGTCATCATATAAAATTTTGGGTTACTCGTGAGTGAACCTGGGCATCCTCCGGGACGCCTAGTCCGGGCCGGGCTATGCAAAGCCCGACCTCAAAATCCTAAGCTTGAGCCCAGCCCGACCTAGCCCAAATGTCGGGCTTTCAAGCACCTTTTTTATAAAATAATGAACTTTGGGATATTTAAATGATATATTATACCGATATTTCTAATAAAATAATGATATATGCCATGTTCGGGCTTTTAGGCCGGGCTTCGGGCAGAAAAGCTGAGCCCGAGCCTGGCCTGGTTGTCGAGCTTTCGGGCCGGGCTGTCCACTCCCGGGTTTACTCGCGAGATCGTAGTGACACAAAATCCAAAGTGTTTAGAAAACTGAATATTATTGTTATGATGATCCAAAAGGGGGCCTCGAGTTTTAGTTTTGCCCCGGGCCCCTAAATTCTCAGGACCGGCCCTGTACGGAAACCGGCCATCCAATGCTACCGTGTACAATTCAAAAACTGTTTAAACAAACCGGACTATATTCATACAAACCGGATGAAATTCATACATTTCAGACATATTTTAACTAAAAATTATACCGGACTAAGGCAAAACTAGTCTATGGCCGACCCCGGTGGATATCCATTCCCACGACATAGATACCTTTGACTAGTCTACAACCGACCGCGGAGGATCTCCATTGTCTTTCCTGTGTCCGGCAGCCCACTCATCGGATTACCGTGAGACCTGGAGGTATATGTTTCAGTGCAAAGGGTGTCGTGGGAGTAAGTTTGACAATAGAATAGGGGGTACGTAGGAGGAGGCAAGATCCTAGCTACAGCAAGGTTGTGCACGCAAGGTTTACGAGTTCAGACTCTTCTCGGAGGAAATAACAGCCCTACGTCTCGGTGCCCGGAGGCTTGGCCGACTGGATTATGCGTGAGAGTTACAGGGGGTGCGAACCCTTCTGCCAGAGGAGGGGGGTGGCTTAAAGCATCTCCAACAGCCGCGCCAAAAGGCGCGCGCGCGGTAAACTAAGTTTTTAGCGCGCGTGGGACGTTTCGGCGCGCTCCAGCGGTGGCGGGAAGCTAGCGCGTGCGGGAATCATTTGCGCGTGTGCGGGAAAAGGCGGCAGCTCGCGCGCTATTTTTGGCGCACCGCTTCCAGCGCGCCTTTAAATTGCGGCGCTCGCCACGCGCCTATTCCACACTCTCTCTTCCTCTTCCGCTGCCACGCGTGCCCCCCCCCACTTCCTCGTTGCTTCCTCGCCGCTCCAGCGCCCCACCACCGACGCGCCACCATGCTGCCGCGCCGCCGAGGAGCGTCGGGCTACCGCGGCGTCCACCAGCGCCCCAACGGCTCGTACTACGCCGAGATCCGGTCCGGCGACGTCCGGCTCGGCCTCGGCACCTTCTGGACTGCGCACGAGGCCGCCCGCGCGTACGACGCGGCGGCATGGCGCCTAGACAGGCCGCGCGCGCAGATGAACTTCCAGGACATCCACTCGCGACAGCAGGCGCAGGACGTCGCCCCTCCGCCTCGTCTTATCACGGACCAGGACCGTGCGGAGCACGCTCAGCTGTAGCGCCGCCTCCTCATCGCCGAGGAGGACGAGCGGGCCATGGCGGAGTGGCGCCGGCGCCATCCGGAGGACGTCACCGATGAGCAAGCCTACTGGACGAAGCAGACGGAAAAGCGTCGCAAGGAACGGTTGGACAGGCGTCGGCGAAAGGCCCTGGCGTTATCGCAGTGCGATATCGTTGAAAATGGTGGGCAGTCGATCTTTACAGATAATGATCCTTGTTGGGACGACATGTGACTCGATACCTCGGACCAGACGAGCGAGGATGACGATGATGATGATGATGATGATGACGATTGGGAGTAGGTTGTAGTTTTATCTAGTTGCACTATCTAGTAGTTTTTTATGTCGTTGCACCCTAGTTATGTATCTATGCTTTGGAACTATGTATCGTTTATCTATGAATGTAAAATATCTATTGGAAAAGGCACAAGGATTTTTTCTATGTGCCTGCGATAGCGCGTGCTGCATTTTAGCGCGACTGCTGGAGCGGCGCGCGCGCTGCATTTTGGCGTGGCTGTTGGAGCCAGCACCGCCGGCCGCGCAAAACCAGGCGAAGGGCACGTGACGCGCAGCGCGGCTGTTGGAGATGCTCTTATATAGAGTGCGACAGAATCCCAGCCATCCCACGTTACACAGGGTTCAATGTACATTAAGACAGGGCGTTACTAGTAACGCTAGTTATAAAGAGCTATAAATGATCTTTAAGACTACAGACTGAATGCCTGACCGTTGCCATCCTGGGTGACTTTAGGCCTTCTGTATTCCGAGTGGTTTCTTGTATGGTCGAGTGACTTCATCTTGGTCGAATGGAATTGGGGTTTCTGAGTAAGGTTGGAGGTTGAGTGGATTGCACTCCTTGGTGAACTCAGTCAGTTTTTTCTGTTGTATCTTGAATGTCTTTGACTCTAGGGCAGTGTCCTTTGGTAAGGCGTCTAGGTCAGGCCTATGACCCTACCCTAGGTACATGTCATTGTCATTATCCCCCGAATGGATTGAGGTCCGAGTGAAGAAAGAGCTGAAGTAGATTCTGACCCGATTCTCTCCTGCGGAGGTATCTCATCTGAGTCTGTGAATCATGCTGAAGCTTCGATCTTTTTTCAGTTGCCTTGATCGATTCAGTGGTCGTCGAGTGAACTCAATTGATATTCTTCGAGTGTTGATATGGTACGAAATCTTTGGCGCGATTGGTTACTCTGCGGTCTCCGGATCTCACGGGATTCGAAATTTCGGGGAAGCGCGCGGGACGGAGCGCGCTGTAGTAAACGGAGTGGATAGATGAGGATGCCTCGATCTTCATGCCACCTTTTCCGCCACGTATCGGGCGAGCGCCTGCTGCGGGATATGATTAGATCGCTCAGGCCCACTTGTCAGCCACTCGGAAGTGGCCTCATAAATAGCGTCTGGGCCGAGGCGAAGCACAGTGCGCCCCAATCGTCCCCTTCTTCCCTTGCTTCAACACTGCGCTCTTCGCCATCTTCGTCGTCTCCGTTCGCCCGCGAGCACTCCGTCGCCATGGGAAAGGACAAGACGGAGGACCTAGAGCGCAAGAAGGCGGCGGCGGTGAAGGGTAAGAAGATGAGTCGGGGGTCATCGTCGAGGTCTGGTCTGCTGCCTGGTTGGATCCAGGGGGACTGGATCCGCTCCACGATCCAGAAGGAGGACTTGGAGGACCTGGCCAGTGGAGGCATGATTGCCCATGGGTCTTGGAGGTTGCCGGGGAACGAGACCGAGTCTCGGGCATGGGAGGGTGAGTGTGTCCTCCTTGCCACTCATGTCGACCGCGGTTTCAGTCTACCCCCACATCCTTTTTTTTTGGGGTTTCTTGAACTTTTTTGGTGCTCAACTTCATCACTTCTCCCCAAACACAATCACATATCCCGCGCCTACATCTCTCTGTGTGAAAACTTCTTGGGCTGTCGACCGCATTGGGGTTTGTTCAAGCAAATCTTTACTTGCCGCTCTCAGTCTGTGAAGAA